ACATACATACACACACAAAAACATACACACTAAAAGCTGCAAGAGCAATATTGAAATAAAGCAACCATGCTTATAATAAGACCAAAGATTGGAGAATATCATTGGCAAAATTTACAGTATATATGCTTAATGGAAGTTTAATTAATCAAGAACAGCTTGTATACAGTATATACTACATGTTATACAGCAGGTCAAATTTAAACATTTGAAAATTGTTTTTATGAAGGAAGTTATGAGATCAATGACAAATAACACATGGAGAGGATACTAGCACTGATCCTTAATCTTTAATATAAACACCTAGGTTGTGAGGTTGAGAACTTAAAAGGTGAGAAGGAGCTCTGCATTACTGGAAAATTTTCCCATCCTGTCTTTATATATGTTTAGCAATTGTTTTGATGTATGTTCAGCTGTTACCATTCAATATAGACTTCTTTCCCTGTTGTAGTTCATTATTCTAAATAAAATATTTAAAAAGAATTGAGGGGTGGGTTTTTTGGTTCTTGGTAGTCCTTATGGGATGAATGCTCTGGCATGATGTCTTTCCTCTTATTTTGGCAAGGAAGTTATAGTATAGCCATCATATGCTCTCCTCCAGTAATATTGCAAGAAAATAATCCAGTACAGTCTTGTGCACATCCTTCAGAGTTCAGTAAATCTTTCTCCTAGGTAACTGGATGTGGTTTTGCAGCTCAGAGAAATATCATGGCTAATAGAAATTGGGATTGATTGACATTACAAAATCAAGTGGCTCTCTGCATATTATCTACTCATGCTGAGACATCATCATCATCATCATCCTTCATTTAAATGTTTGGCTAAACTGGATAATTTTTGGCATGCAACCTGTTCATTGCTCTCTTGGTAAATTGGCATGGTTACTTATGACATTAAGGTTCCCCCTCCCCCTTTCTGAAACCTCCACAGGCACACTTGGTTTCCTAGGTTATAAGAAGTAATGGCTGAATTTTCCAATTTCGTTATTGTTTCTGTCTTAGCTATATGAATCATTTTTGCCTCCCACTTTTTTATTCTACATACAATGCTCAGATTAAATCCATAGCTTTTAGTCGTAGTTGCTTTTATTTTTTATTGCAGCTGTTTGATGCTAGCTTTATTGTGCAGATATATGTACCTGTTGAAGATAGAGGCTTTTAATTTCATTTTTTCCCCAAACAATCCTATCTTCTTTTACATATTTATCAGTTCAAATTACTTTTAATAAGATTAATATTTATATACTGTTTTTTTTCTTATTTAATCTTAATCAAACCACGGTATATTCTTAAAGCTTTTCTCAGGATCATATCAGTCAATTTGCCCTCCCTCCCATTTTTGTTTTTCTTTTAGAGACTTGTCACACTACTTACAAGGGCAAAGACTTGGAATCTGCCAATGTTTGCAATGGATTACTTTATTTCTTTCATTTTCAGCATTTGTTTCTTGCTTTTCTATAAGATATTAAAGATAGCTTGCAACAAATTATTGTGATTGTAACCATTAATAAAAAGTAGGTATTAATAAAAGTAATAGTCTTGAACATGAATAGAATGGAACTACTGACATTAAACAATACAGAGTGCTAATCTGAAAAACTGAAAAATGAACATTTTTGGCTGCCCACTAAAAGTGCATAATAAAAGTTATAGAAGAATTTTGCTATGGAGACTTTGTTACTGCTTTATTGCTGTCCTATCCAACACATCGTTCTGATGAGGTAGAGGAAATTGGAAGACCAGTGGCTTATCAGATAAGGCTTACTTATAACTATGGCCTGTCTTTTCCAACTAATTTTGAGTTGTTTAAACAATGCAAATAAAAACAAGAACAAAACTTGTAAATTTCATTTTGAAAGGGAATAAACTATATGCTGCAATGAACTGAATAATAAAAGGTAAAAATAAAATAGGAAAAAATATTAAAATACATTTTAAAATAATTAATAATCTAATTCAAATTGTGATTAGTATTTCACAATGTCAAAAATAATACTATATTGTATACATATTTATTCCATTTATAAGGCATCTCATTTGTTGAAACAACTCTTGAGTGCTATGCCAGTGGTTCTCAACCTTTTTAATGCTGCGACCCCAACCGGTCGTAAGTCAAGGACTAAACCGGTCGTAAGTCGATGACTAAACCAGTCGTAAGTCGAGGACTAAACCGGTCGTAAGTCGAGGACTACCCAACCGGTCGTAAGTCGAGGACTTTCCCTGCCCGGGAGCGCCACGCATGCGTGGTTTCACCCCCTGCACCAGCCGAGGCGTATCTGGCAAGCGGCAGAGACGGAGCAGGCCGACCACCAGCTGGCCCAGCCCAAGGGAGGTAAGGCACCCGCCGGAAAAGGGGAAAAAATGGCGGACAGCCTTGCTTGGCGACCCCTGTGAAATGGTCGATCGACCCCAAATGGGGTCCCGACCCACAGGTTGAGAACCACTGTGCTATGCTATTATAATAGTCAAAATAGTAATCAACAACCAGAAACAAAAACAAATATATATTATGGCCATCACAGACATCATACCATTTCCTGAAAAGGCACATCTAATATCCATCTCAAATGGGTAGAATTTTTAACCCATTTAGCCATTTTAACCAATAAATTAAAGCTATACCATATTGCCCTTGCCTCTCTGTCAATACAAAGTCATTCAAAGACTGAAAGTTGACAAATGTTGTTCAGTTACCTTTTAGAGTCTATATACATCCTTCCAGGAACATATAATCTGCTTTGTTGCAACAGTTTAGGTATGATATATCCAAGACTCCTTATAAATAGAGAAATCCAATTTTTGGAGCATATTTTAACCACACATTAACATATTTCTAATTTCCTTCAAAGAACTAGTTTACTACTACATGGTAATTATATTTGACCTGTATGAAATTACCAATGGAAATGTTGTGCATAGGTTAACATTTCTTATGGAGTCTCATTAATCTGCAACATTTTTATTTTTGAACAACTCAGATTTTTAATTTTTAATTATATGCAATGTATTTAACATTTTTTAGAATATAAGTTCATTTTCTTTTACACAATAGGATATTTTTTAGATTACTTGTATATTACATGAGTTTATTTTTTATAAAATATTTGAGCCTCTATGAAAGCTTTCTCCAAGGTGCTCAAAGCTTATTTTATCAGAGTACTAGAGACTATCATGGAATGAAAGTCAAGCCACATGTATATATTACGATTTTGGTTCATTTTGGTAAAGTATATTCTTTTTGTGATTTTTCAAAGGCTTTAAAGGTACCATTACTTATTAACAAAAAGTTATTATAACACCGTAATATTTTCAGCTCAAGTTTTCCACAGAGATTTGTGAATTTTAGGTTATACAGGTAGTCCTCAATTTACAACAGTTTTTTTTAGTAACCATTCAAAATTACAACGCCACTGAAAAATAGTGACCATTTTTCACACTAATGACCACTATAGCACCCCCTTGGTCACATGATCAAAATTCAGATGCTTGGCAATTGACTCATATTTATGACATTTGCAGTGTCTTGGGGTCATGTGATCACCATTTGTGACTTTCTGATAAGCAAAGTCAATGGGGAAGCTAGATTCACTCAACAGCCTACTAATTTAACAACTGCAATGATTCACTTAACAAATGTGGCAAGAAAGTTTATCAAACTTGCTTTTAAAGTTTATCAACCTTCTCTCTTTCTCTTTCTCTCTCTCTCTCTCTCTCTCTCTCTCTCTCTCTGTGTGAACTTAATTTCATCTTTCATGCCTTTTTGATTTCTGTTGGTCTGCCTCAGTGATCCATTCATTGCATTCCAAATATAAAATCCTATATTTAGAACATCTGAAAATATAGAAATGATTTGAATGGTTTATGTGGCCAGTGATAGAATGGAATATATCTTGTGAAAAAAATGAAAAAGTATTCAGAAAAATATATGGTAGTTTGGGCAACCTGGCAGAATATAAACACTGTTCTTAGAGAGCACCACTTCAGTCTATAGGAAGCAGATTTTTTTATGGTATCTGACACCCAAACATTCTCACAAACACCTCCCTGCCCTAAGAGAACTAAGCAGGAACACAGATTCAGATATTGCCGCTTTCTCTCATCTGAAACTCCCACATATCCAATGGAGAAGAGTTCATTTATATTGTTTTTCACCTGTAGCCTGAAATGGGACAGTGCAACAAAAATGTATTTCATGGTAAATTATTTGTTTTTAATATCTTTCAATATTCAGTTATTCTGCAGTTGATAAATTATGTACTTTAATGCTGTAATACAGTTTACTGGAGTGATAACATCTGACCATAAATGTAATACCATGAACATAGCATAGTGTTTGGATGCATTGTTTTTTAATTCTCACTTTTTTGCTGTTTCTACAAATTGTTAATTTAGATTGTTATATTAATATTTGAATACTTAAATTTTTTTTAAAAGTATATAGTTTCTCATCTTGATTTTCCCCCTTAAGGGAGAAGATGAAAATGTATGTGTAATGAGTCAAGCTAAGAAGGCAGAAATAATTTCACTAAATATAAGCTGCCTATATGTTTTGCTAGGAGAGACAGCTGCCAAATATATGGACAGAATAGATTTATTCTGCAGTGCAGATCCATATAGTGCCAGCTACTTCAGGGGCAGCATATTCATATCATATATACAATGCTACGAATTAGATTTGGAATAGGGGCTTCTGAATGCATGAGAGCATTGAAACAAATGTAATGATGGAAACGGGTGCTGTGCTGATGTTTTCTGAATGGAATCTGATGCATTTTACAGCTATAATATATAGTTATATTGAAGCTGTTTTATGTGGATGCATCTGCAAAAACAATATGTTTCACCAAATATGATTATATAAATATTTAGTATTGTTTTAAATTAATAATCATTGAAACTTTCCTCATATATATTAATTGATAACACTTGAAATTAAGTTCCATTTTCTTTTTGTCTCTCTTTTTTCCTGATGTCTTCTTTATTAAATGTTCTGTTTTTGGATAGACCCAAAATGCTCTTCAACTCCATGAGAGGATTCAATCTTCTAGTATGGATGCCAAGTTGGAAGCACTGAAAGATTTAGCCAGTTACTCACGCGATGTAACATTTGCCCAAGAATTTATCAATCTAGATGGGATTTCACTCTTAACACAGATGGTTGAAAGTGGCACTGAGTAAGTATTCTGTTGTAATTCTACTATCATTTTTGTACATTTTTCATAGTTATCTTAAGCTTTGCAAATTACATTCACTGAACATATTTTGAAAATAACTGATGTGACCCCTCATTCTGTTGAAACCGATGAAAGGTCCATTAGTGGGTGAAAGTGGCAAGAAGGTGACAAGCAACAGGGAGAAAGCAGAACTATTTAACTCGATTTTTGCATCTGTCTTTACACAAAGGGAAAAAACAGACCAACCTACCAAAAATAGTGCCATAAAAAACAGAATAGAAACGCAAGTTAAGATAGGCAAGAAAGCAGTAAGTGAGCACCTGTCCAGCCTAGACGAGTTCAAATCGCCAGGACCAGATGGATTACACCCCAAGGTTCTCAAGGAACTGGCAGATGTGATCTCAGAACCATTGAACTATATTTTTCAAAGATTCTGGAGCACTGGGGAACTACTGGAGGACTGGAAAAGAGCTGATGTAGTTCCCATCTTCAAAAAAGGAAAAAAAATGGACCCAGGAAATTACAGACCTATCAGCCTGACCTCAATACCTGGGAAGATTCTGGAAAAGATAATCAAACAAGGAATCAGCGAACACCTAGAGGGCAAACAAAGTCATTACTAAAAGCCAACATGGGTTTGTCAAAAACAGATCATGCCAGACAAATCTTATTGCATTCTTTGACCAAGTGACAAAATTAGTGGATCAGAGGAATGCTGTGGATATAATTTACTTGGATTTCAGTAAGGCATTTGATAAAGTAAATCACAACTTACTACTCGATAAGATAGAGAAATGTGGGTCAGACAGCATCACCACCAGATGGATCCATAGCTGGCTGACTGGCCGTACTCAGCCTGTGGTCCTCAATGGAATCGCATCCACATGGAGGGAAGTGTGTAGTGGGTTGCCCCAGGGCTCTGTTCTGGGCCCAGTGCTCTTCAACATCTTCATCAACGATTTGGTCGAGGGGATAGATGGGGAAATCATCAAATTTGCAGACGACACTAAGCTGGCAGGAATAGCCAACACTCCAGAAGATAGGCTTAAGATACAGAAGGATCTTGACAGACTTGAACACTGGGCGCTATCTAACAAAATGAAATTCAATGGTGAAAAAAGTAAGGTTCTACATTTAGGCAAGAAAAACCAAATGTACAGGTATAGTATAGGGGTTACTGTGCTCAATAGTAGTAACTGTGAGAGGGACCTCGGAGTCCTAGTGGACAATCACTTAAATATGAGCCAGAAGTGTGCTGCAGCTGCCAAAAAGGCCAACACAGTGCTGGGCTGCATTAACGGAGGGATAGAATCAAGATCATGTGAAATATTAATACTACTTTACAATGCCTTAGTAAGGCCACACTTGGATTACTGCATCCAGTTTTGGTCACCACGATGTAAAAAAGATGTTGAGACTCTAGAAAGAGTACAGAGAAGAGCAACAAAGATGATTAGGGGACTGGAGGCTAAAGCATATAAGGAAAGGCTGCTGGAATTGGGTATGTCTAGTTTAATGAAGAGAAGGACGAGGGGGGACATGATAGCAGTATTCCAATATCTCAGGGGCTNTAAAATCCTCCCTAGGTCAGGCCCGCTTGCTGGAAAAGCCATGTCTTGAGGGCGCGGCGGAAAGTAAGGAGATCCGGAATCATCCGGATCTCGGGGGGTAGTTCGTTCCAGAGGGTGGGGGCACCCACAGAGAAGGCCCTCCCCCTGGGGGTCGCCAGCCTACACTGCTTGGCCGACGGCACCCTGAGGAGGCCCGCTCAGACAGCCATTTGTCTGAAATGGTATAGGGTTTCCTGCCTGAGCAGGGGGTTGGACTAGATGACCTTCAAGGTCCCTTCCAACTGTATTATTATTATTATTATTATTATTATTATTATTATTATTATTATTAAACGTGTTAAAAAGAATTTGTTATTTTGATGAAATTTAAGAGAATTATGTGTGTTATCAAGAAACTAAGAATAACAGAATTGGAAAGGACCTTGGAGGTCTTCTAGTCCAGCCCCCTACTCAAACAGGAGACACTATATTATTCTGGATAAAGAGCTGTCCAATGTCTTCTTAAAAATCTCCAGTGACAGAGCATCCACAGCTTCTGGAGACAAATCCTTCCACTGATTAATTATTCTCATTGTCAGGAAATTTCTCCTTAGTTCTAGGTCGGTTCTCTCCTTGATTATCTTGTATCCATTGCTTCTTGTCCTGCCTTCAGGTACTTTGGAGAATAGGTTGTGGTAGCCCCTCAAATATTGGAAGATAATATCATCTCACTCTTAATCCTTCTTTTCATTAAACTACACATTCCTGTCCATCTGGAAAAAATGAGACTATAATATGTATTCTTGATAGCCTGTTTCTCCAAAAGCAATCTTATTTATGATTGTAACCTGCTACAGAAAATACTAAGATTGATCCTAATAGAAATCCAAAACTTCTATTAGTAAAATCATGTAACTTTCTTGAATAAAGATTAGATGCTAATGAAGCTGACTTTAGTAGCCTTTAAAACAGTGGTGGGATTCACCCGATTCGCACCACTTCGGCAGAACCGGTAGCTAATTTTTTGTTGCCCAGGCCCAGAATGGACTTCAAGAAGCGGCATCCACACAGAGAACCGGTTGTTCACATATTTGAATCCCACCACTGCTTTAAATACCTGGGACTTTATTGCATTGAAATGAACCAAAGTTGTGGCTAACTTAATCTGAATCCAGTTCCAAAGTTTTATTTTCATAATCTAGAGAACTAAATATTAGATGATCCTAGAAGAGCCCAAATCCAGTGTTAGTGAGGTTTTCTTACAAATAGGCAATATCCAAATAGTGAGTTTTATGAAATGATGTGTGAAGGATAAGTCTGTTGAAAATGATACTGCTGGGATGAAATTTATTCTACATGATTTCTGCTTTGGAACTGAATAATTTAATCACATTGACATGGAATAAATTACCTGCCCTCTAGGTTGGCTTGACTAGACATATGTTAGGTCAGAACAACAAATCATTTAACAAGGCAACAACCATTCTTCTTTTTGAGAAGCAGTTTCTTAAATTAATTGTGACATATTAGTATTGTTTTATACATAACACACAATTTGAAAATCTTAGATTATGCATTAAGAAATAGAAAATATATGCAAATTAAAATAACTGTTTACTTATTTAATTTATACAGCAATGTCTAGAAATAGTTTTACAATGTGTAGTTACACATTTTACGTACTCCAATTAGTACAATCCACATTATGAAGACAAAAAAAAAGATAACCAGTCTTTTTCAACCAAGTTTCTAATAGCTTCAATCCATTAGAAATTAATCACAGCTTAGATGCAAGCCAAATGCATCATGGAATCATAGTTAATCCTGTCACATTGTTCATTTGACTCCCATGTTTAATAGGAAAACAGCATCATCAGGATTGAGGGAGATTCTAACCTTCCAGTCACTCTGACAAAATTAAACTGAAACCTTCCAAACAATAATTACTTCAGGAAAAAGACTTCTAAAAGGTCACTGCAGGTCACACTGAAATAAGGATGCTGCAGTTGCATACAAATATAGTTAAAACTGTATTATATTCTTCTTTGTTAATTATGAATCATTTTGTTTCACTTGTAAGAGAATTACTTATGGAACACTGAGATTTAGCAATGACATCTGTCCAGTCCTTCAATCACAACAAAAATAGCAGTTATTTATTGTCATTTTAAAAATGGGAGTTATTTTATATAATAAATATTTTACAGTATTTGGGAAGCAATTAGGTTGGACATTTTTGCAATTTTTGCATGAGAGCTTTAGAATTGCAAAGTTGAACCAACTTCTATGCTATGTCTAATGAGGACAGACAGAGAAAGCTCTGACACTTTCATCATGGTTTTGGTATGCTAGGCCTTTGCATATTTTACTTTTCAAGGCGGTGCCATCATCACAATTGGCCAATCTAATTGGATGAGGGGAGTTACAGTATAATACTTCTGGAGAAAAGCACAGGCTGAACAAGGCTGGGAAAAGTGATTGTAACTTCCAAATTCATCCTAGATGTTTTTTAATGTATATTTTTTATTATAAAATTTAAAATTATAGTGGAAGAACTGAGCTTGGAGTGGAAGACTGGGTTTTTATGTCTCACCTCCCAGTTCTTTGGACCTTCACACTCTGAAACTGCTTCCAGTGGGACACTTATCTTCCTGGGAGCATTGCCCTTGGCATCCTCCCCTAGCCCTAAGGCAGGGGTATCAAAGTGCTGGCCCATGGGCCGGACGCGTCAAGTGGAAACTGCACCCACCCCATTGCCAGCAATGGCAAAACTGTTCCGATACATTGCGCGACGTCACGTGGCATTGCGAGTTTGACATGTCTGCCCTAAGGTATCAGAGAACTAAGGATATTGCAGCTTATGTTGCTCTTGTAGCAGTTATAAGGGAAAAGGATTTCAGTATTGCTGCTTTAGCATAAAGAGATATATTTAAACATTTCAGCCTTCCTTCCCTTCTTGGGAGATAAACCAGTCTATCCAGGGATAAAACCAGTTTATTTTTATTTTTTAAAAGAGATAAACAATAAAAACAAAATCTTTTAAATCTTAAAATTTATTTGAACATCAAAGATTTTTTTAAAACCTCCCTTGCTGCTTAAAGAGCAGGCCATTTTTAATATTTTCTTTTTCATCTAAGAAACAGAGTATATGTAAATATTCATATTAACAGCAATATACAAATAATATTCATTATTACGAGTACCAGTACACTGCCACACTTCTTTAATAAATTCGAAGTTTGTGTTTAGACTTAAGTTATCACTTAATAGGGATGTCGCTGATTTCAGTGAGACCTGTCAATTTCACTTTCTTGTGGTTCCTGTTGTTAAAAAATAAAACATAATTTGCTTTCCAGTGTCATGCTGCTACCTACTAATCAGCTCTGAATATAACTTGTAAGAAATGGCTTGACAAATTAGTGTCCCACCTTCCACATAACTGGGGAATTGAATTCTCACATTTTTTGTAAAATTGCTCTAAGAAAAAGGCATCCACACATTTGCCCATCATGTTTTAAAGGAAAGAAAAAATATCATTTGTGCATCCATCCGCTCATGATAAAAAGGGGTAGTATATATATTATAGCAATTTTTGCAAATCAGCAGAGCTCTTGGATGTGCTTATCTTACATAATATGGTAATATTAACAAAAGTTCAATAAAGATGTGTCCACAAAATCCCATCTGCCTATTCATTTTTTAGCTTGGGGATTACTGTTCCCTGCTCTTCTAAATAGCTTCCCATTTTCATCCCATTAAAGAGGAAGAGAAAGAATTCTAACTAATGGAAGGGTCACATGTCACATCATATCATATGATTGGTTTATTTTGGCTGCTGTGTGACCCCATCTAAATGTAGATTCCTATAAACTATGGTTAAACCAATCATGATTTAACAAGAAACATGAACAGAGTCCAATGATTTGAACAATGTTCACAATATTCAATATTAATTTTGTCAGGATTGAAGGAGGGGTTAGTTTTTATCTTCTTTGTTGAATTATAAATTATGAGAATTGGTATTTCATTCTTCCTGAAATATACATTAAAAAATCAGTCAAACTGCAGCTTAGTCTGCAGAAGACCAAGGAGCAAGAAATATATATTTCTCTTGCATGTTTACTTGTTTTTGTAAAATCCAGGCAACTTACATTGTGGATGTGCCTTTCTTGTACACTGCTGGAAATCACAATATTGTTTTTTTAACTTGGTGATCTATTTTTTTCCACCATTTACTAAAAAAATTACAGACAGCTAAATAGCCTTCTAAATAGTAAGGATGATTCCTATAGTTTTGTGACATCCATTCTTTTCTTTTGTAGAAATTCTAGTAGCTTCTGTCCATAGAATATATATAGAATATCTATACTGGTTTGACTCCTTACAGCCCTCTGCCAGTTTAGTGCTCTCCAGTGCTCAAATATCCAAAATTTGGGTAAATATTCTTGTAGTTAATATATACATTTGTAATGTTCTCTCTCTCTCTCTCTCTTTCTTTAGATTGAATCGATCTAGACAGTTTTCTGGGAGGCAAGGTTTAGATTCTTTATTATCAATTGTACAATCATATTTTATTCCCCATGAGTTGTGCTAAGTGGATTTAAAAGCAAATACATTTCTTTTTATGTAATTAGAGGTTTTGCCAGATATGCCACAAAGGAGTTGGTCTCATCAGAGCTCGGCAAAATTCGTCTCAGCTGGAAATGACTCCTGGCAAATATAAGATTGCACATTCAGCAAGTATTAAGCTTTGTGGTGTAGAGAATTCCAAAAGGAACTGCTGTTCTTTTGATAGGAAGCCAGCTCTATAATACAGAGCCCCTTTGGGACCAAACAGTGAGCATATTGTGGTAAACAAACACTTGAGCAAGCATCCTTTCACTATTATTCCATAGTTTTGTATTGCCGTTGCTCTTCAGTTATTTCCCCCCCTTTCTATTAAAATTAGTATGAACAAAAGTTTGTGGTTGATTGTTAATGCTGCCTGAAACATTGAAGATGGTGCATTTTTATATTGTTTGAATTATGTGGCTTTTTACAAGAAATTTAATTTTCTCACAATACCACTATGAATTGTTGGAATATATCTGGCCTGCTAATTTTAAAGCATCAGCTACCATTCATTATCTATAAAAAACAAATGTTAACCTTCAGAGCAACATGTAAAGTTATGTCTGCTATCTTACTATAACTATGTTGCCAAGCACGATTGATATGAATTCATTTCTCTGTTAACTTCAGGCAAAGGGTCAACATACAAAATAGTGAATAGCTTGCTTATTCTTCCAATCTGATATAATGGGAAATGTCTTAAAAATCCGGAAGCTTTTTCTAAAACAAGTCTATATTATTTATTTATTATTAAATTTATTGGCTGCCTTTCTTATCACAGTGTAACTCTGGGTGACTTACAATGTTAAAAGGATAAAATTATACAAACCAATACATAGTATGAATAAAATATAAAAAATAGAAGTATAAATACTCTGACTAAAAGTATAAATACTCTGACTAAAAGATGGGGAGGGAAGTAGTAAGATGAGTAGGGGAAATATTTTATATTTTAATTTGATTTAAATATTATAAGGCACTCAGTATCAATGACACAATGGAAAGCACAGTTGCTGGTCAATAGTTATAGACTGGTATAGGTTAGTATTAAGAGAAATTCATCATCACCACTACTGTTTGTTATTGCACTGATTCCTCTGTCAACAATATTGAATAACTCAGGCCATGGTTATCAAACATCAAAAAACATCTGCCAGGCTATCCCACCTCCATATAGTGATCTGCAGCTATATGGAAACACATCATGTGAAAAGATTCTCTGCTCAACACTGTCCGTATATACAATCAAGAATATCATATTGGAGTTTGGACTGGACAAATGTGCCACTTTCACCATCAGGAGGGGAAAAGTAGTAAAAACTAAAGGATCCTCCTTATGCTCAAAAATGATCAACCCATATTAGCAATCCCTAAAAAGCACTCTCTCTCTTACACCCCCTCTCCCTCCCTCCCTCCCTCTCTCTAGATTCTCTCTCTAAGAATCCATTAGTTTGAAAATCCCAGCTTCATTCACTTGTGTACCGCTGTAATCCCAAAAGCTCATTCATTGTAGCTCTTTGCTATGGGAGGGGATAAAAAAATTGTCCGTCTTGTTTTAATGGAATGATATGATTATCCTCTGTCCAGTTGTGAAGAAATGTTTGTCCCGGATAATTCTGCTAAAAGTTTGTAACAGCACTTCAACACCTTTTTGTTTGTTTTTTCTGCAATTAATCTTTGTTGAGTTGATTTCCATATTTCCTCCAAGTGTTTTAAACTCATATTGTTATATATTTGAATCTGTTTCAGTTGAATGATTGCCAAATGTGTTTTTACAAATGTGTTTTATTAGACTTTATATAAACTCTTAGCTAAATTAAAACAGACAATATATTTATGTTTCTCCTTACCTGAAAAGTTTTTAAATTTTTGCAGACGATATCAAAAATTGCAGAAGATAATGAAGCCCTGGTAAGAACCCGATTGGCTCATGACCCCGCAAACTTCCTCTTCTTTGCATGATTAAATTTCAGGCTTGGCTGCTGATTTTATTTATTTAACTACCTGTGCATATTTTGATCCAGTACATTTTCTGCTTCTCTTTACTGTTCTTTTAATCCTATTTGCCACAATTTTATTATTATTCTTTCTGTTTTTTTTTTTTTTGTTTTTTTTTCATAGCTTATAGAAAAGTAAATGTTCCTGGCTGCTACAAATTTTGCTAATGCTTTTGTTATTACTTTGAATGATAACTATTTATTTTATAAATAGTGCATGATCATAAATCATGAACATTTTAATTTCTAGAAAGTGGGGATTATGAAGACTGAAATTCAGTACAGTTTGAAAATATCAAATTGGTGAACACTATTTTAGTATCGTTGTTATGATTAGAATGTTTTTATCATATTTTTTCTGAATGAGATATTTCTGTATTTAACAGGATGCACTGTGTATTTCACTTCTACCTGCCAGTTGTAAATTGCAAGAAATTCTTGAGTTGAGATGATATGAACATATGTAATTAGTTTAAAATTATTGCAGAAGCTTAAAATTTTGTAGGCAGGGACAACTATTTGCAATCTTATAATACTATTTGCTTAGCAAAAAATTGTTACTTTCCATTTTGTCTATGGGGTTACAATGTTGCATCTTCAAATCATAAATTTAGTTTAGATTTTTTAAGTTAAGCTATTATGTAATCATTCTAATTTATATTCCAAAAATGTTAAGCCATCTAATGATGAATTGCAGGATATCCCTGTATTTTTTCTATGTAAACTTTCTTCTTCTCTTTTGAGTCATTGTCCACTATTCATGAATTATAAAATATCTTGTTTGGGTCTAAAATAAAATGTTATATTCTTTGCTCTTATGTAGTTTTTTCACATTGAAATATTGTTACAGAACTTGGTCTCCATTTTCTTCTATTTGCTGTAAAAAAAATTTTTTTGGAGGCTTCAGCAGCCCTCTTCTTACTGCTTTCACAAAGATGTTCTCTCTTTTCGCTTGTTATCCAACAATAGCCCATCGCCCACATAGTTTCACATCTCTTCACTTAATGTTTGTATTTTTCCTCTCCTTATTATCTCTTATTTATTTTCCAAAATTTTCAATTTTACTTTGAATTACTTCTCCACTCAGTTGTCCTGTAAATACTTTAAGATTATTTTTATATATATAAAATAAAGTTGGAAGGGACCTTGGAGGTCATCTAATCCAACCCCCTGCTCAGGCAGGAAAACCTATACCATTTCAGACAAATGGCTGTCCAGTCTCTTCTTAAAAACTTCCAGTGTTAGAGCATTCACAGCTTCTAGAGGCAGGTTGTTCCACTGGTTAATTGTTCTAACTCAGAAAATTTCTCCTTAGTTCTAGGTTGCTTCTCACTTTGGTTAGTTTCCATCCGTTGCTTCTTGTCCTGCCATCAGGCGCTTTGGAGAGTAGCTTGACTCCCTCTTTTTTGTGGCAGCCCCTGAGATATTGGAACACTGCCATCATGTCCCCCCCTCATCCCTTCTCTTTATTAAACTAGACATACCCAATTCCAGCAACCGTTCCTTATATGTTCCTTATATGTTCCAGTCCCCTGATCATCTTTGAAATGTCTCATATGTAATACCTATTTTTGTTATTTCTATTGGTTTCATTATTTTTCTAACAATAGCTCATAAGTTACATAAGTAAAAGTAAAAGGAAGATTTCAACTTTATTTTTGACTTTCTCTGGCCCTTAAAAGTTTTATCCATTCTGGCATTCTATAATTTTATAGTCAAATGGTTTGTCTTTTATCTTTGTGTTACAAGGTCCACTAATCATTTTCCCATTAGAACTTTAAACCGACTGCCTATTATTCTATTTATTTAATTATTTTAAAAAACAGTTTCATAAAAACCCTAATACTTCAAATTTAATTGCCCCCCTAATCCATTTTAAACTTTTTAAAGTTAAGTTCTTATTAAGTTTTTTGCCATTGAATTTAAATTTTTTAAATTGTTTACTCTTTTCTTAAATCTGGAATAAAAAGTGACTCACCATTTTTTTTTAAAAAAAGACAAAACCGAGCTTCTGTTTCGAAGATCTCTTTTAACTTTTAACTTTGAAATTTTTGTAATTAAAATTTCCTTGAGAAAATGAGTTTTCAGTGAACCTAGGTTCTGCTGTGAGCTTGGTGTCTGTCTTGTGGTGTCTTATAGTTAACTTATGAGTCTACCTCAATCCTACTTCTCCTCACAAGGATTAGATGTCTGGAGCACAAGTGGGCAATCTCTTGATCTGTCCTTTTCCAAGGAAGCCCAGCCATCAGTCTCCCCACCCTGGTGTTGTCTCAATGCCCTAGGACAGTGATGATGAACCTTTTAGAGACCAAGTGCCCAAACTGCAACCCAAAACCCACTTATGCATCTTCGGGTGCCAGGCGGGTGTAGCCCATTGGCTGGGTGTGGCCAATTGGGGCGTTGGCCCATTGGGTGGGCATGGCTGCGGTGGTAATGGCAGTGACCCACCCTGATTTTTCAAATTAGTTAGTTAAGGTTGAAACGTTCTATAAAAAAAGGGCGCTCTTCAACTTTAACTGACTAACTAACTTTGAAAAAAAAAAAAACGTGTGCCGTCACCTCCGGATTTTACTTTTCCAAAATATTTTGGGTCGACTTCCGGATCCTGACCCCACTGCCGTGTGCACGGGTCAGAGAAGGCTCTGAGTGCCGCTTCTGGCACCCATGCCATAGGTTTGCCACCACTGCCCTAGGAGACATCTTAGCATGCCAGTGTCTTCATCTAGAAGACCCCAATATTCACACTGGAATCTCACATACAGATGGAAAATAGTAACGTAGAACTTTCCATCCCTTTTATTTTTGCTGGTGGGAAGTTTTGAAAATATATTATGGATGCAGTTGCAACAAGGCATTTAAGGAACTTGCCTTTTTCCGGAAAGTTATGCTGGGAACATCACTAGTTAAAAAGCTTCAGGTTCCATGAATCCTCTATAGCTCTCCTCTTTAAGTAGAATTCTACCTACTAATCCTGCTATTTTTGTTTTTCTGGCAAGCTTGTCGGCATATTTCCAAACCAAGCACTGCAGCTACCCATCAAGTAAGATTAATAGTTCTGGGCAGTAAAGATATGACAACTAGATTTCAAGAAAGAATTATTGTATTCTGTATCTGGGATCCATACAAGGGGAGAGATAAAAATAATGCTGAAGACTAATCCTTTACTTTGTAGCATGCTAATTCCCCAACCACCCCCAACCCCTATTTTTTACATTAAATTAGAACTTGGGGCCTAATATTGTATTGACTTTGACATAGTATTGTAACTGAATTGTGCTGTTGACTTTGATGCTGATGGGTAGTTACATTTTCAAAGAAAAGGAAGATTTAAACCTCAGATTGAATTACGTATTAGAAAAAAAACCCAATGGGCTGCATTCTTCATAGTTCTCTTAAATTTAATATCCTTAAATTCATCCCTGTACTGTGTGCTGTATCTTGATGTTACTGTGTTCTGCACTTGTCTGCTCCTTGTAGCAGCAGTGAATCATGCATCTACTAAAATAAAACATCTGCTAAAATATCTACCATATAATGATGCCACATAAACTGCCCTACACATTGCAGGAGAGTAAAGGGGATAGAATATAATTGCAACTCTCAGGGCCAATACAAACTTTTAGAAGCTTTGCATATCAGGTGGTCCTCAGGTTATGACCACAAATTGACCAAAGTTTCTGTTGCTAAGTGAGAAATTTGTTAAGTTAATTTTGTCCCATTTTTTGACCTTTTTTGCCCGCATTGTTAAGTGAATCACTGCAGTTAAGTGAATCCAGTTTCCCCATTGTCTTTGCTTGTCAGAAGATTGCAAAAGGGGATAACATGACCCGGGACACTGCGATCATCATAAATATGAATCAATTGCCAAGTGTCTTAATTTTGATCATGTGACCATGGCGATGCTGCAAAATCATAACTCAGTAACTCGAATGTCATCCGTGTGGCAGTCAGAAATCCCAGCCAAGGACGTCCGCCAACCCAGTCCATGTGGGTTTCACCCTTTTTAGATGTCTCGGGGGGGATGTGGGAGCTCCTGGTGTGCAGGATGCCACTCCTGCGTCCCCCGCTGATCCCTTGATCTTTTGAGAGCGCGTGCACGCTCTCGGAGCGGGGAGGTCCCTTGATTGTTGCCCACACCTCACCTGGGTGCCCATAAGCCGTTGGGGGGAGGGTACATCCTCCGTGGTCTTTTTTAATGCATTCGGTGTACTGCCGGATTGCCTCCAACGGGGTGGGGGATTGCCCATACTCCATGCCCTCAGTGTCAAATGTGCTGGGCAGAGGTCAATGTGCCAGTTGATTGAGTCTCTGTCGGAGAGCCACGGTTCCTTGAGCAGGCAGCCCCCTTTCGTGTTGTCACTAGCCAGGATGCGTACTTTGTCAAAATCGAATCGATGGCCAGATTCTGTCATATGTGCCCAAACTTGGGAATACTGCTCACCCCTTTTTACTGCTAACCTATGTTCATGGACCCTGGTTTTTACTCTCTTAGAGGTCTCTCCAACATAATTACTGGGGCAGTCCTTACAGTCAATCCTGTACACGACTGCCGATTTCTCCATGTTGGGGAGT